CAATGCTGAGTTTGTATTATAATTTATCATGCGCATGTGTTTTTGATGCTTGTGATTGTATAATGATTTTAAAAACATTCAGGTATCAGAAATTGTACCATTTGTGAGCTTAACTACGATTCATTTGTTGAATTATTTTTATCATTCACTTACTGTACTTGAATACTCAGAAAAGGATAAAACATTTGACTGTATCTTGAGTGTATTGGTAGATTGTTAAGCATGAAAATACTCTCAACACAAGAAAATACGGAAATGCACTGCAAATAGCACAGTCTACAATGAAAACGTGTCAGGGGACCCCAAAAAGTGTATTGTTTATAAGATTGTATGGAGATGCAAATAGTAAACATTAATTCATCAATCTCAACATACATGTGCATGAAAATACTCAGAACACATCAAATAAAGAAATTAACTGCAAATACCACAGAAAACAACGAAAATGTGTCCCAAATATTTTATAAAATGTTTATTACATTTTACATTTTAAATTCTTTCCAATTAGAGACATTAAGTAACTAGTGAAATTGTTTTCATGTATATTGCAAAATAAAAAACATTGCTATGTAAAATTTACAATATCATGCAGCCCTATTAAATATGCAATTAATTTATTCACTTGAAAAAAGTTCATCCTACAAAAAAAAACACACAAAAAAAAAGAGAAATATAAAAAAATAGCGTAAATGTTTTTTTTTAACAAACTGACAGCTAAAATGAGAGAGTGCAAAGGGGTGTCAAAAAACAGCAAGGTTAATAAAAGCAAAGCGTGCGGCACATGAGAAACTGATGTTTTGCTCACACCGAGCTTGTTACAACATCCTGTACTTCTGAACTTTAGGGGCGAGACTGTTCCTCCCGCCTTCTCTAATCTGTAAATACAACTCCGGAGGCAAAGGAAGCAGATGCTGCACTCGCAGAAACTGTTGCCCATCGCCAAATCGCACAAGGAAAAGTGAAGTTTTCCATATCGTCGGCTTGTCATGCACTTAATGAATATCCCTCAGATGTTAATTAATATTAATCTGATAACAAGACATTAGGACAACTGAGAGCAGGGTCTCCCTCTGTTCGTCCGTTTGCTTTCCTGACGCTCTCACTTGTTCATTTGCTCATCGGCTCTGACGCTCTCCCTACCCCCACACATTCTCCCAGGCTGCTGCACAAGCTTTTTTTTCTTTTTTCAAGAGAGAGATGTAGGTCAGCTCTGTGACGTCTGGGGAGGCACAGCTGAGCGCCCCTCTCTCTCCACGCTGCGGCAGAGAGACGCTCGCTCAACAACACACATGCAGAGAGAGAAACTGCAGGAGCGTGTCGCGCATTCTGCTCATACTGCAAGCTTTATTTGGCTACTGATCAATTACTCTTTGAGTTGTGAGGCAATGTAAACAAAAACATTAGGGAGCTTTAGTAGACAACACTGCAACTGCTGAGTTGTATGAAAGCGAAGTCAATTAACAGCCTTCAGATTCATTTCAAAATTAGCATCATGGTATTCATCAAATTAATGGCAAAGAGAAAATGAAAACGACTTATCCATAACAAGAATATATATATACTGTAAAGAATGTTTATATTCATTTTGCTCCTCCAGAGACTTTTGGACATCTGATTTTTGAACTTAAGTTACTCCTGTTTAGTCAAAAACGCAGAAGATTAAAAAATAAGGAAGTCTGTTTCTTCTATCCCTCCTATGGCAAGTTCATGTAAGGGACATGCTTAAAATGAATATGTGCTGTTAGAATGTACAGTGGGGTGACAGGGAGCTGTGAATTCTGACCACTAACATATTTGGGGCCCTCGAAAAAAAGTACTAAATCTTTTTCAGAATAACTTGCTATTATAATTGTTATTATTATTATTATAGTAATAGAATAACTTCCTATTTTAATTGTTATTATTAGCAGTAGTAGTAACAGTAACAGAAACATTTCCTATTACAATTGTTACACTGTAAAACCCAACAGTCAACTATATCAAATAAATGAGTGTAGTTAACTCAAAACTTAAAAGTTTATTCTACTCATTTGAAAAGAGTTTTGAACTCAGTGTTAAAGGTACTGAGTTATTTTAATACCTTATTAATTCAACTTAAATGGAGTAAGTTAATGGTACACATATAGATTAGTTTAACTCAAACATTTTGTAGCAATTGGTTTCCTCAAACGGTTTGAGTTGCTTTAACTTATTGGAATTTACAGTCCTCAGTTGGAGTTCTCTTCATTTATTGGGTTTTACTGGGCTTAAATTGCTTTGTTTACTCAAATGGATTAAGTTTACAGTACTTATTGGTTTGCTCAAACGTTTTGAGTTGCCTTAAATTTTTGGGTTTTACAGTGTATTTTTATTAGAAGTAATAGTAATAAAATAACTTCCTATTATAATTGTTATTATTAGCAGTAGTAGAAATAGAAACAGAATAAATTCCTATTGTATTGTTGTTATTTTTATCAGAAGTAGTAATTGTAACAGAAAAACTTCCTTTTATAATTGTTGTTATTATTAGATGTAGTAATAGTAACAGAAAAACTTCCTATTGTAATTGTCGTTATTAGTATTAGTAATAGTGTTGTATTCCATTTAGCACTAGTAATAACTTAATAAATCAAATAATTTGTAATATGAATCTTCAGAATGAAGTTATTATTAGCGCTATTATTACAATAACAACAACAATTTCAAGTAATGCTTAACTTTATTACAGAATTAATAATAATTATTATTTTAATGAAGTTGAAATTTGTTAAAAAAATCTTAACACTCTTATTTAACCCATTAAAAAAATCTAACTGCATTCAGCATTTACCTAAATTTCTAAATCAATTAATTTAGATTAATAAAATATACTCAATAGCAAGTTACAATGTTAAAAGTTAGAGAATTCTATACAAATAATTAGAAAATAACAATAAAAAGTACCTGATAAAATAATAACAAATACTGCTATTACTATTGTTATTGAACTCTTAATGTAATTTTACTGAGAATAGTAATATTAAATATTACTGCATTTGTTTTTAATTAATAACAACCATAAAAATTATATAACAATAAAAATATAAATACTGATATAAAAAACGTTTAGCACATTATCAAGCAATATTTACAACAGCTGCTAGTGTTTCTACAGTCAAAACAAAATATTTCTGCTTTGCTGTTAAAAGAAGCTAAAACAACACAATTTTTTTAGATTTTCGGAATAACTTAAATGTTTTATGTTCAATCCACTTAAATTTGTTAAGTTAACTTAATCGGTTCATTTTGGGTAAACATATGAATGAATGAATGTTTTTACAGTAGCTTTTTAAGTATAGTATATAATATAGTAATTATGAGTTAACAATTTAAGTCAAGTACCAACTCTCATGATTGTATAGTGTCTTAATACTTGTCTATTTGTAAGAAATTTGTCACGGCAATAAAAAAAAAAAAAAAACAGATAAAGTTTATCACATTTTAAAAATATAACTTTTCTATAATTATAAAAAAATCTAACACTTAAAAGTCATAAACAGCAATAATTAATACACAAGATAAAATACATAAATAATAATATAAGATAAAAACTGTAACAGTTTTTGTAAGGTTTACTTTTGATAAAAAATTGCACAATTCTAGAAGGATTTACACTTAAAATGAATTCATTTAAAGTCTCTCTGGTCAAAAAACATGTTCTGATAACATTTAAAATAGGGCATTCCATAAGTATATGTTTAACAGTTTGGTTTTTGTTGCAATATTGGCATTTGTAAATCATATTAGCTACCAATGACTATTAAAGTACAACATTATCCACAGTCTATTAAATGCTGTTAAAATTATGTTGTTTTGAAGTCCTAGTTACATGCAATTTCCGACCGAATACTGTAACGTTATTCAAAGTAGTATTGTAAAAGATACAGGGAGCGTTGTCAATGATCAAAAATCAACGAATGTGCGAATGAATGTATGAATTTTACCTCAATGTTTTTAAGTACTTACTATGCAAGCACGCATTCTGTTAAGTTCATACCCACAACCTAACCCCAACTATAACCTGAATAACTATTAATAAGCAGCAAATTAGGAGTTTACAGAGGCAAAAGTTATAGTTTGATTTACTTATAGTGACAATTGCACCTGTGACTAGGCATGGGACGATAGCAGTTTTCAAGGTATAGAAAAGTCAAGGGTGCAAAACCTCCAAAATTTTCTGCAATACCATACCTGAGGTATATACAAGAATTTTTATTTATGTTTTTTTTTTTTTAGCTTTTAGGACAACAGCATCTCCAACAGTAAAGATTTCTAAAGATACTGTTTAAAATTTTAAAGAAATCTGTTTTGAAACAAATGAAAACAGCAGAAATCAATCATTTATTTCAATTATTTAGTCTGCCATGTTTACTGCTCCAAAATATTACAAATATTTCTTAAAATAAAAACTATATTGTGGTCAAATGGGCGAAAAGTTTTTTTTACCCAGACATTAAAAATAATATACTTTAGAGCAGTAATCACAATACCTCAAAACCGTGATACTTTTATCCAATGTTACCATACAATGCCTACCAGTGACTATTAAACTAATTATCGCAGTAATGACCGCTGAAAACAACAACTGTTGAACACTGAACACTCGAAACCATTTCTCTTGTATTATCTAAATCAATGCACCTACGTTTTCACACCTGCAGCCACGACCTGACATTAACTGAGGTGTCAATGCTGAATCCCTTCACATGACAATGGCGTGCTCCTCAATCCAATGCACTACAAAAAAACAGCAACGCGAGCACATTGCACACAATCCAAAATCATCTTCTCTCAATAACATACTCAGATCTACAATTAACTCTATGGAAGACAGAAACGATCGCGTGCGAAAGTCGTATGTTTTCCACCTGCGTGTAGGACTTGTTTAGGAGCAATATGTTTATGCACACAGCAAGTAACCCCTTCAAACCCTGTTACCCTGGACGTTAGTAAAACACACAACACTAATGCTTTAGAGTTACCTGTTTAGTCCGATCTCCTCTTACAGATGCTCTGTGAACTTTGAGAATGCTGGATGTTGTTTGCTGGCTAATACAGCCAGATGGAGCGATTAGTTATGCATTCAGTCAGATGCAAACATTTCTGCAAGCCCAGCGCCAGCGGCTGAGCTTGCATATGAGAGGTAAGTCGAGAAATGCGCAGTTCATCTTATTCTGGCAGAATAATTCCGTTAGTGTTGTGCTGTGGTGTCCGTTAAACCCTTCGGTTGAAGGCTAGCTAAGCTAACGAGGTTAGCGGGCTAATTTCAGCAGCTATTTTAAATCCAGGACGCAGTTTCTTCTCGTTAAACTCCGGGTGTTTGCTGTCGTGAATGCACTCGCGTGACGATGAGACGCTTCTTTAGTCGCTCGCGGAGCTGCAGTGCCGCTGTCATCCACGTCAAATGGTCATTTGTGTGTTTAATTCTCGCGTTGATCTCTCGCCACCGCCATTTTCATCCTCGAGCTACACAAACAAACAGGAGGATCGCTCACGTCACTCAGAAGGTGCGCGACTGCACTGATCTCTATGGCATAGTTTGACTGGGTTGCTCGGCGACACATGATTTGGGAATCTGATTGGCTGCGAGGGTTTGTGTGTTGTTGAAGAATCGCTGAGTTGCGTAGGTATGGACCTATGGACGTACAATGAAACGATCCATTTCTCCAGTGTAGTGCAGATAGCGCGGTGGAGGCCCATAGGGGTATGGGTTTGAATGGAAGTGTGTTAGGTTTTCATTGATTTTGCTTTAAACTTCACTTGGCGGTTTGTTTGAGTTATTATGCTTTTGTTTGCTTGTTTGATTTATATGGTGGCAGGTAGTAGTGTTTTTATTGTGCTTCCTCAGGTGGTGAACTTCTGTCACACAGAAGGAGGTAAAAGCAGTCAAAAATGTACAAGACCTTGACCTATTCATTTTCTTTTCGGGCAAGTCCCTTTATTAATCACACAGAAATGCCAAATGACCCAGCCAAGGCTCGAAGCAGTGACCGTCTTGCTGTGAGGCAACATCGCTACCCACTGCGCCACCACACCACACCTTATGGGTCATTCTGGCATTCAGTAATATTTCAGTTCCCCCATATTTTTTTAAAGTGGTTGTTGACTAAAATTACATTTTAAAAGCATTTTTCACTGATTTACTTTGTATATTATAATGAATCAAAAAATGTACATTAAAAGTATTATTAGCATAAAAAATATAATATTTCTGTCACAAACCAAGCTATTTGTCATTTCTTTACAATTGCATGTAGAAATAAAATTATAAAAAGCACACAGTGTCTACATTTTTTTAGAATTCAAACTATTTATTTGTGTTCTTTTCTGTTGATAAATAAAAATAAAATAAAAAAATATGATTTTTTAAAATAAAAAAACAGACTACAAAGTTATGTCCCTCAATATAAACTCAACCCCGTCACGCCAGCAATTCTCCACCTATACCAATTTAGACTCCACTCTTAAATGACATCTCAGACAGAAAGTGACATAACTCTCTTTAACAGCATGGTGCAAAAGAAGGCAAGATGTATTTTAATTTATTTACATTTTTTATGTTTATTATAGTTAGGAAGGGTACGGTCAAGCTTATCAATTCAACCCCGTAACGTAAAATTAAGATGGAATATGATTATTTTTTTTTTTGTTGTTGTTGTTTTTTTTCAAACAATATAACATATTCTTGTTTAATTGCTGCCATACAGGCCTTCTCTTTTAAACCACGAGGAGCAGAGGTCACTTTGTTTTAAAAACTCAACCCCATTAGACTCAACCTAATTACACATGTCATTGTGTTGGGGTTGTAAACACAGAACTGCCTCTCAATTTACTACAACTTCTATGTTTAGCTGCTTTGACACAATCTACATTGTAAAAGCGCTATAGAAAAAAAGATGAATTAAAAGCCTACATATTGTTCTTTTTACTTACTGTGCGTCTTTAAGCTTAGAAATAAATAAGGCTGCTATATCTTTTCTAAGAGAATTGGTTTTCTGAATAAGATGATAAAACTTGCGACAATGCCATTGAGAATCCTAAAACATGTCAGCAACTTGTTAAAAAATGTTAGCAATGTGCAAGAACACGCTAAAGATTTTAGAAACACTAAACTTGCTAGCAACAAGTTACAGGGTGATTAATATGCCAACTTGCAAAACATGATATTCAATTCATGTTTATTTCTATAGCGCTTTTACAGTGTAGATTATGTCAAAGCAGCTTAACATAGAAGTTCTCGTCAATTGAAACTATGTGAGTCCAGTTTTCAGAGTTGAAGTTCAGTTTAGTTCAGTTCAGTGTCGATTAATTTTCACTGCTGAAAGTCCAAACAATGAAGAGAAAATCTCTTGATGCACAGCTCCACAAGTCCCAAACCAAGCAAGCAAACATATATCAATATCGTAGCACCTTGTTAAAACTGTAAAAACACAGTTTTTGTTAATGACATGATGTAAACATATCATAACATACTTATAAACAGGCTGGCTGGCGGTAATGGTAGTAATATGGTACAACATATTAACATCTATCTCTCCTGCTAATAAAATATAAAACCTTAAAATTTTAAGCTGTAAAACTGCTTGTAAATTCATTCATTCTCTGCTTTGTCCCTTTATTAATCTGGGGTCACCACAGTGGAATGAACCACCAACTTATCCAGCATATGTTTAATGCAGCGGATGCCCTTACAGCTGCAACCCATCACTGGGAAACACCCTCACACTCTCATTCACACACGTACACAATGGTCAATTTAGCCTACCCAATTCACCTATAGCGCATGTCTGATTGTAGAGGAAACCGACACGAACACGGGAAGAACATGCGAACTCCACGCAGACTTGCCAACTGACCCAGCCAAGACTCCAGCAACCATCTTGCTGTCAGGCGATTGTAATACCCACTGTGCCAAGGGTGAAACCTTTTAAACTTTGAGCTTTAAAATAGCTTCAAACCTATTGGTCAGGCTTTTTCAACACAACGTTTAAGTTTGTCTTGAGGAAATAGTTTTTTTTTGTTTGTTTTTGTTAAGTTATTTAGGAAAATCTGCACTAATAGTGTAGGCTATTAGTTTTCATACATGCTTAATAATGCATATTTAAATTAAGAAATGTAAGAATTGACAGCCTGCAGAAGGGAAAACTTCTTTAGTTTGTCACGTAACTTCTTAAAGCTTATGTGTGAAATGTAAAGCAAATTGTCGATGAAGTAGTAATCACATGGTGATGAACGTGAGTTATCTGATATCAGTGGCAATGAGTGAAATGTAATAGACACTCCGGAGCGAAAGGGGGCAGTATTATACAAAAAAAGGAAAAAGCAAAACGTCATCTTTGTGCGACGGGAATTTGTCACAGCAAACGCGATGGCAGAACCAGGGTGCGTATTTTACTTATTTCGAATCTTAATCAATCTGTGATGAAGATCAAAACTATTATCTAGTTTTTTTCGTTTTCAGCGTCTATATAGTGTGTATAGATTGTTGGATACAAAATTTATCCGGATGACACAATGTGATGAGGGTGATTAGTTAAAGTTTGTTTTCACATGGATCGACTCTAGTCTACCTGAACTAACATGAAAGTTGTTTTTACTATTGTTTTTTTTTGTAATTTTACTTTAGATCTTAAAGACTGTCTGGCTGTTCTGTCATGTGTAGATGTTTACAATGGACGTACTGTCACGGAATTATTTGTAGTTTTGGAGTTCGATGGCAGGGCTCAAGATTAACATTTCAGAGCAGTGGCACCGATGCCACCAACTTAAACATATGGTGACATACGCTAATGATTTTGTGTTTGGACAGTGCTTTGAAAGAAATGAAAAAATAAAATTAAACCAACACTAATAATAAATACAGAGATGGCTCAAAGATATGCGAACGGATAATTTAGGTAAATTTGGTTTAGTATTCGCACATTCAGACTTTCTTCTTAATAAAATAACTTGGGGAAATATAATTTTTTTGCAGATTTAAAACAGGGAAATCATATTAGCAGGCAACAACTCTAAAATAGTGCTAATGTCGTTTTGAAGTCATACTTGAATGCGATTTCAGACCGAATATAAATAAACTCAAAAACTCAATAAACTGATTAAAACTACATTTACATCTACAATTACGTTATTTGATAAAATTTTTTAATGTGAGAATACTAGTCATAGACACTAAAATAAGTTCCTAAAGGCTAGATTTAATACTTTCTTGCTGAAATTTCATTCAATATTGAATCTCCTAAGCTTATTGATAATGATAGAAATAAGTTTCTTAAAGGATATGATAATCTAATTTTTTCTTATTTAATTTTTTTCTTCTTCAATGCAGTGAGTGATGTTATTATTCTATTTAGCAAAAAAAAGGATACTAGTCATAGTGAATGTAAAGATGCTTCCGTTTCATAGTCAGTTAACATGCTTTAGCTAATTTGTTGTAGCGTTTGGTAACAGTTGTAAGACATTTTTTATTAAAAGCAACAATAAAATAATAGCATAAGCTTTTGTCTTCAGTGATCTGTATTTTGTTGTAACAAGTAAAATCAGTAGACAGAGTGTTTATTTACAGATAAGTGTGGTTACATCACTGAGTCAACTTCTTGCTGCCCATTCCTTTAAATTAAAGAGCATTGTCTGTTGATTCTCTTTACAGGTTTTATCTTTATATTCGTCTTTAAATAAAAACATTTACCCTTATCATAAACAAAATAATAGTAGATTGAAGCCATGCAGATAATAAATTGTTTAAGGTCTTATATAGTTTATATTAAAACATTGATATCTTTTGTTCAGAACTGAGAAAGTGATCAAGCTTGTTCCTGAGAATCTTCTCAAGAAACGCAAGGCATACCAGGCTATCAAAGCCAATCAAGCTAAACTTGCTTTACAGCAGAAGAAAAGGGTAAGAATTCTTCTATGTGTTAATAGTCCAATAATTACTTCAAAAACAAACTAATAAACTAAATATTTCACCAGGTCCAAAAAGGAATCCCCTTCAAGTTTAAGCGCTTGGAGGAGTTTTTGCAAAACAGCAGGAGAAAGCATCGAGATGAGACCAGGCTCGCCAGACTCAAAAAGAGACCTCCACCACCCATGCCACCAGCCAAGAACAGCCTGGCATTCGCTGTCCGCATTAGAGAGTAATTTACACTCATGCCTCATTCACGTTGACATTGAAGCTTTTCTATTATGCTGCTACACTTTTAACTTTCTTTGGAGTTTAATATGGCTGTTTGACCATGAGAAAATGTACAAAGCACAAATTATACTACAGGTATGATTTTTCTGGACTCTCTCAAACGCCTTGATTCTAGTCCAAAATGGGAGTAATTTTCACCCTAGGCAAGCCCAATAGGGTTACACAGTCCAACGACACCTTAGACTCAAGTTACATCTTATAAAAAGAGCATAATAGGAGAACTTCAAAGAAACATTTGACCCAAAAATATAATTGCGTCATAATTGACTCGCCTTCATGTTATTTCCAACAATGTTCCATGTTATTTTCACGATGCGTCATCAGTTGACCATATTGGAAAGCAAAGCGTAAACAATGCCACTGAATGAAACTTGCATATTTTGCTGAATACTGCTGTTGAAATTAGTTTTTGTCAAGTTTTGGCCTGTACTTAAGCACTGAAGAGTACTAGACCGACAAAAGTGAGCAAATTAAACAGAAGAGAGCTGTTTGACTAAATATTACATATTTTCACACTTACCAAGTTTTCTGTATAATCTAGCACCTTAGACTAATTTTTGTCTTAAATGCAGAACAGTATATTCAGTAATTGATTATTGTGCGATCCATGATGTTGTTTACATCTGAGCATCTACGTCATGACTGCACGTATGGGTAACTAATGAAATGATGCAAGATGCATTTTTTTGTGACAATCAAAAGTTTTGTTTTAAATAACATAACAGTATGTGATGACTTAAGTTGTTTTTGGATTAACCATCCTTTAAGGTTTATTACCTTAGTTTTTATTAGGGTTTAATTTAGATTTTTCATTTATTGTAGGATCAAAGGTGTGAGCCCTAAAGTGATGAACGTTATTCAGATGCTGAGACTCAGGAAGATCTTCAGTGGCACCTTTGTCAAAGTCAGCAAGCATTCAATAAACATGCTTAAGACTGTGGAACCTTATGTTGCGTGGGGGTAAGTAAATATATAGCGAAATGTTTTTAATTTAAAAACTAAAGGCTGGAATGCACTACGTATCAGACTCTTGCAGACCTGGTTGTAAATAGTTAAAATAAAGCTGAAGGAAACAGCATGAGAGTTGCATTGGTTCTTCATGCAGATGGAAAGTAAAGTAAATCTTATATTAATTAATAGATGGATGGATTGCCGCTGATTAGGTGCCCATGGCTGCTTTTGCTCTCCCTACATGCTACCCATGTGCCAATTCTGTTTTGCTAGCTTGTCTGGTTAAAGGAATAAGTCTGTAAAATAATGACAGATTTGTGACACACTTCTTTATTGGTGGAAATTGTTGTGGTGGAAAAGACATGTTCCAGAGTTTTAAAAATTGTGTAGTGTATACCAGCCTTAAGACTTAGCTGGCACCATTTTCTGTCTTTCTTTTGTTGAATTTCTCTTGCTTGATTTATTGTGATTGCTTACATAACAGGTATCCCAACTTGAAATCAGTGCGCGAGCTCATCTTGAAAAGAGGCCAGGGAAAGGTTGATAAAAGAAAAATTCCTCTCACCGACAACACACTCATAGAGCAGCATCTAGGTATGTTGTTGATGTGGTAGACACATTTTATTCAGAGCTGGGGATTTTGGGCTACTTATAATATTCCTTTCTGTAAATTTATTTATAAAGAACTTTATATATTTTACAGTCTTTTATAAATAAAATTGGGAAAATGAAATCTCTTACTCCCTTTACATGTTAAGCAGGTATTTGCATGTTACTTTAAAAGACAAAGTAGCAAAATAAAGCCTTTATACATTCTGGAATGAAACGATTGTCTTACAGTGTTGACATTATAAATGAATGTAATTGTTTCTCAAGGTAAATATGGCATCATCTGTTTGGAGGACCTCATCCATGAGATCTATTCTGCTGGTAAGAACTTCAGGGTGGTGAACAACTTCCTGTGGCCATTCCGTTTGTCAGTTCCACGACATGCTGCTAGGGACAAAGTTGGACTAATGAAAGATGTTGGAAATCCTGGACCTAGAGCTGAGGACATAAACACAGTCATTAGGAAACTCAACTGAGCAAATAGACTCTCGTGGACTGTTGTTTTGTTGCCCCCATTCAGAATGAACATACAAAAGAGAGAGAGCAGAGCCTGTTTCTCATTGTGCCATCACAATTGAATGTCCAATTCAAGTGGACGTTTCCTCAGAAGAATACAGGAGTTTACTGTTGACCTTTTGAAAAATTGAAACACTGCTGTGCAAATCTGTCAGTTTCTTTGCCTTGTAAAGTTTGTGGATTACTTTTTATTAAACAATGCAAAAATGTCAGTGTTTGAGGGGGTTTATAGCTGTCGAATAACTTACCTGAAGTACTTTTCAGCCATCTTTTTTGTGCTTTTAGTGGGTATAAAACTAGCATGGCTATTTCCACTTTAGAAGTGCCAGTCTGGAAGTATTGAGTCGTGAGAGACCAAACTTTTTCATGAAGGGCCACTGTCCTGCAGAGTTTAGTGAACAAATGCCAAATTCCTCCATCAGAGATGAAACCTTTTATCAATGCTTACATTTTAAACAAGTGGCAAAAGGAATGGGATGCATTAGAAAACAATAAATTACATGAAATCCAACCTGAAATTTCACACAGAATTTTAAGACATTTTAACAATCGATTTGATCAAGTAGTTTTTACCAGAGGTGGTATTGGGCATACGAGAATAATGCATGGTTTTTTGCTCCAAGGTGAAAACCCTACCCGGTGTTTGTGCTGCAAAACTCCTCTTACTATAAAACACATTTTACTGGACTGTCCTGCTTTTACTGATTTCAGAAGCCTTTTTTTAAGAAATAAACTCTTTGAAGGACATTTTTAACAAAGTGAAACCAGAAAAGATTTTAGAATTTTTATCATGTATTAAAACAAAAAATCTTATTTAATTTATGTTTTATTTTGTTTGTTGATTTTTAAATTGTATATTTATTGTTGAAAGATTTCTGCCATGAAAATAGCCTTGGTTGCTGACATGGCATTAATTAAAAAAATACATTACAAACATTACCTGCAGAGTTTAGATTCAGTTCTAATTAAATGATACAAAGCTCGCTAATCAATCTATTTAGATTCACTATAAACAAGTACATTGTAAAAAAAAATGCATGGTTCCACACAATGCATTCATGTTGTCCTAACACAAATCGATTAAGTTACCTTAAATTTAAGTGGTTTGAACATAAAACAATTAGGTTGCCCCCCCCGAAAATCTCAAGAGATATTTTAGTTTATATTGAAATAAGTAGTTTAAACAAGCAGCCAAAAAAATTTTTTGAATTGTGCTGGTTTGGTTTAAATTCTAGAAAACAGACTTTTTATTAATAACATTGTAAAGTAATTCATGCAGGGTTATACTGTGGCTTTATTGGAGACTAGTTTAATGGTTTGACCTTTTTTCCCCAGGGCAGATATTTAAATTTTGCTGTTACATATGTTTTTATGTTGAAAAAATATATAGATTTATAAGATAGATTCTGAATTATTTTATTATTATTCATAAAGGAAATAAGCGTTAAAATATGAAAAAATAATTACATTCAGTTACTAGACATTAGTGCATTATGACGGAAATGCAGATTCTGCATGGAGCTGTGTTGAAGAATTAGCAGATGTGTGGTCTAAAGTCCATCTACAAAACATAAGTCTGGATTATACTTTATGAGGTAGATACCAATAAAGATGATCAGTAATTTGATATGTGTTGTTTACAATAGACTGTGTTTTACTTAGTTGCATTTAACCACTCAGTTTTAATTAAGGACACACACAATTTAGGGAAAAATAAAGATTGGAAACTTGATGTTAAAAGATGTCTCATTACACAATAGACTGTGCAGTCTTTATTATCATTATGTCTAAAAATTAATTTGAAATTTCACATGAAATACACAAATATTACTTACAGGTTTTCAAAATAAAAGTTATTTGTTGATATTACAACTGGGATTGACAACGACTTTTGTCAAGTGGTGTGGACATGTTGAATAAATTTAATCCAATATTTTGTAATACAATCTTGATACTGAGTCTTTAGTTTTTTGTTATTAATGATAACAAGAACAAAATGAGAATTAGGGACAATACGGACCATATATCAAAACAGTGCCAGTGCTCATTACAGTGACAATACAACTTAATATATAAATAATGTGAAGAGGAAAGTTTTATGCAATAATAATATTATACGCTTGTGTACACTTTACAGTCTCTAATAGTATTATATCTTTTTGCCCTTAATCATATTTACATTAAATAAAATACATTTTAAAGATGTTGGGGAGATAATTTTAGGAAAAAGAACCTTATTTACTCGTAAACCATTCCAGCCACCATTTCTATAATTAGAATTACATAGCATGGGCATTAAATTGCAAACAATTTCCTATTAAAATAAATATGGTATCATTTTAAGATTTAAACTGTTATTTATGCATGGACCACATATACAGAACAATGGCTGGGATATACTAATCGTATAAAGAGCACAACAGAGTTACACATAGAATCAATAAAGTAAAACAAAAAATATATAAAAGGGGGTGGCGCAGGTAGTGCTGTCGCCTCACAGCAAGAAGGTCACTGGTTCGAGCCTCGGCTGAGTGAGTTGGCGTTTCGGTGTGGAGTTTGTATGTTCTCCCTGCGTTCGCGTTGGTTTCCTCCGGGTGCTCTGGTTTCCCCCACAGTCCAAAGACATATGGTACAGGTGAATTGGGTAGGCTAAATTGTCTGTAGTTTATGTGTGTGAATGAGTGTGTGTGGCTGTTTCCCAGAGATGGGTTGCAACTATAAGGGCATCCGCTGCATAAAAATGTGCTGTATAAGTTGGCGGTTTATTCCGCTTTGGTGAGCCCGGATTAATAAAAGGACCTAATCAGAAAAAAATGAATGAATGATTTAAAGGGGGTCGTGAAGTTTTTTTTGTTTTTTTTTGTGCATCAATCAGTACATTATAAGGAAAATGGAAAGACAAAAAGAAAACATTTTGAAAAAAGAAAACAACAAAAAACAAAAGAAAAACAGATGGGCTATATACATCACACAACAAAGAAAAAGATTATATAATTTACAAATTTAAGTTTTTTTTAAAGCCTTTTTGTAGAAGAGTTAGAAATATTTTCAAATTCTGCATTTCAGTAAGCAAAATATATATATATATAAAAAAAAGGTTTTTGGTTTGACAATTGTACATTTATGTATAAAATATAAAATGTTAATAAGACAAGAAGATTAAGATAATATAATTAGTTTTTATGTAAAGCCTCTGTTTTATAATAAACAAAACCAAACAAAACATTTTCCCATAGTTAAAAAAAAAATCTATCAACATTCTCAATTACAAAAAGGGAAAAATCTTTTCAATTAAATTAGAATAAATGCATTGCCAAAATAAGTGAACTAGGGACTCAGGTTGTTGCTTACTAAATGAACAATTATAATCAATGTCTATGATTACTTAGAGACTATTCACTGGATATGTACGATGGATAATTCTAAATGAAACTTCTTTTATCTTATTTGTAATTAAGTAGCTATTTGGGAGGGGGTCGTGAAGTAAATGCACTAGTGACGTTCCAGCGTGACGTCAGGAACACATGTATCAACTACGGAGCAGCCAGCAACCTTTAGCGTGATGTCAAGGAGAGAAGGGGTGGTCTGAACCGACACTGCTTTAAACCTTCCTCCATTCATTACTCATTATTCATCGCCTGAACTCTGACCAAGGTAAGATAATGCGTGACGGCTAAGCGGAATGAATGATAAGGTCGCTAAAAAGCCCTGCGAGCGTACACCGCTCACTAAAGCCTGGACATCTTCGTTGAATATAATGGAAGCCTTCGCAGTGTAGACGTTATTTGTCTGTTTGTTTTATATATTTGTATGCCTTCAATTCAGTCACGCACGCGCTGTCGTGACGATATAGCGCCAACCGTTTACATCAGCAGCATATCATTTCCTATTGGCATCGTGGTGTTTTCCGCAGCTCTTGTATGTTGTGAAGGACAGTCAGTCAGTAAACATTCCGTGTGAACACCTTGTGGTTGTCAGTAACGCAGCTTTTTCTAGGTTCACGTTAAATTGGGTTTAACCTGTAACTTATCTACCTATGAAATCAAACACGCGCAAATCATGTCTTTCTCGTGCTCGTGCTTCTATTGCTCGCTCATGTATGCGCGTGGGTGACACAACTGACTGGTAATACTAGTGCATCTTCTTTTAAATTACCGCCATTTTTAATTGATGTATATTAAATGCCGTATTTGTTGATGAAATTAGAAGTAGTTTTTTTAAAGTGTTTAAAACGCATAGAAACACATAGGCTAAATGTCAGTGTAAATGGCTTAAACACGCTTATTTGCAGAATTATGTTAAATTTAAATATTTCTTATATTAATTTAGTTCATTAAATATGCTTTTACTTGATTAAATATTAATTGCCTATCAATGTTATAAACACTAATCAAGGTCCTACAGTGTTACACACACACACACACACACACACACACACACACACACACACACACACACACACACACACACACACGGGTATTAAATTAATCGATTGAGGTAAAGTTGGTTTTATATTTACACATTCATTCAGTGACAACTTGTGGCTTGCTCCCTATATTGTTTATCAGGCTAATTTTATTCGAATTGAAATTGCATGCAAGAATGACTTCAAGACAAAATCAGCATGATTTAATTAACTGAACAATGTTGTGCTTTGATAGTCTTTGGCTGATAATAAGATTTCACTATTTAGAATTAGCAAATAATACTTTCCTGAAATTAAATTATTAAGGAGAACGTCTGAATGTGCAAATATAACACCAGCTTTACCTCAATAATTAGTCGAAAGTTAATACAAATCAGGCTGTCAAAAAGTGTGGTTCTTTTTTCTCCAAAAGTGGACCTTTTTTGCAGTTATATGCCTCATTTTACATTTATTTATGAGAGTTTTTTTTTACATTCAATTTTGCTCAGTCAGAATTTAGCAATTTCAATAAAAAATTATTAAAACATGATAATAATAATGTAGAGCTTCACAATTTTCCAGCCTCTCTGGTAAAAGATTATTTAACAAAGATTAAAGTATAAAGATATCATTAAATCTTATTATTTTTAAATAAATTAGACTCCCCAGAAAAAACATAAAGCGCTATTTATTTAACTTTCATCTTTGCTCTGATGTATTTATAAATGCTTGTAATTTATTATAATTTATGCAAACATACTGCATAGAAAAAGACTTGATGATCCTAATCTACCTAGATGAAAGAAATCCTTCCAAATTGAGCTATTCAAATCATCTGCTCAAATTATATTCATATCGCAATATTTATCGCAGAGAAACAAAACATTGCAATGCCAGATTTTTCCAGTATCATGCAGTCAAAAGTATTTTTTTCAAACTTTCAACCAGTAATGCTGCTTGGATTAGGCAGATAATTATTGATTAAGCTTTTTATTTATATAGAATTCAGATTATATGTCATATTGAAGTACATTAGTCATAATATATAGATGAACTTCTGAGGAACAGCTTGAACCTGTCTGCTTCTAATAAAAAAAAGTGTGTTGTCTACAGATATCAAGAGCTGTGATTATGGCGAAGTGTTTGGTTTTGTCAAATCTCATATGGACTGATCTTGATCTTTATGCATTAACATCTCTGCAGTATTGCAATCATTTCAGCAATCATGTCGGGTTGCATAATGACTGTTGTAAAATGATCCACGGCCTTTTATTGTTTGAACAGAGAAGAGTTTTAAGGGAGATTTAGCCAAAAAAATGAAAGTAAGTCATTATTAATACAACCGGGTGTTTTGATCAGTTTCGTTGTTTAACATAAAATATGCAAAAGGGTTACAGAAAGACCACATAAGATTACTGCTGTATTTTTCAAGTGTTTTAAAGTGTTCTGTGATTTAATTGGTAAATTTCTATAGTTTAAATCTGTACATCATTGTTTGCGTACTCTGCTTGGAAGTGATAAAACATGGACTGTATTTATTTGTGTTTGAGAGGCCCCTGAACTGGATAGTGGAGGAAGACACTGAAAGTTATCTGTAGGAGCTGAAAACAACTGACACTGATATATTTCTGTTTTAAGTAGTAACTTTATTTAATTTTAAAATATATTTCGAGCAGTTGACTATGTTAGTGGACAAAGTCAGTTTTCCACAATTTAACATGGGAGTATACTCCGAATGTGTAGTTAATTATTGCATTTTTAAAATTAAAAACAATTAATGACTTTCAAAAGGGTGTTTTTGCTATCAATTAAAATAAATAAATAACACATTTAATTTTCTATTGGGTCACTCTGTATCACATAATCCAAATATAAGAAACTTAAAATCTTTTATTAACTTGGATTCATATTTTCTGATCAATTACCTATTTTGTAGAGGAAGGTCAAAATGACGATTTTTACCTCATATTTGAAGTCCGATTGCATTTACATTAGGCCTGTCACAATATATATTTTTTTGTTTTACGATATATTGCACCAAAATATATTGTGATTAAACTATATTATTTTTGTTTTAAGAAATTTTATGCCACTTATTCTATAATGCCAGAATGACAATATAATATTTAAGTATACTCTGCCAAAGAACACATAATATTTTATCCTTAAGAAAATTTCATTTAATCATAGTCATTTGAACAATTAATAATTAGGCATTGTGATCAGAATGTAGAAACGTATATCCTAAACAAATAAATAATACATGTTAACAAAAAAGTGCAAGGTAAAAAAGTAAGAGTGGCTGCTATATTTGGTACCAGATCTATTTTCAGTTGTCAGGCACCCACATGAAAATATACTATAGTAAATACTAGTGTTTTTTTAAACTATACTGACACTGACATCTCCAATAGAGATAGAGATGTTGCACAATCAGTTAAAATGTTGCTAGAATTGTATTTTTTATTGGGCGATATATATTGCATCACCAAAATGATTGAGGTCATGTCCATGTGTTGTTTGATAAGTCAATAAATTGATTATTGTAACATGTCTAATTTATATTTAAGCTTTTAGCCTAGGGGGAAAGATGCTTTTAGAAAGGTGACAGGATTATTTATTTTATTTTAGATATTGTATCAGTAAAACCTGAATTTAGCAGTCTTTATCCAGGTTTCCATTTCCATTACACTGTTAAGCACATTTGGAAGGTTTGCAAGAAAAACGAGTGATTATGCTTACTTGAGGTGGTTTTGGACATGTTCAATCATTCATTCATTCATTCATTCATTCATTCATTCATTCATTCATTCATTCATTCATTCATTCATTTTCATTTCGACTTAGTCCCTTTGTTTTAGACATGTTAAATTCTTAATGCAAACAATGGGGAACGGAAACATATTTGCTGAATAAACTCTGACGTAGCAAACATTTGACTAATCAGCTGTATCCATTATGCATTTATTGTTGGTCACTGGGTTACCAATGTTACAGTCAGACACTCTTACAACTTGATGGAAACACACCTAATTTGCGTTTTTTCGTAACTTTAAAATTACTTCCCCTGTTTTGTTCACACTTTGTTTTGTTTTTTTGTATAATTAAGTCCAAAGACATGCACTATAGGTGAATTGGGTAAACTAAATTGTCATTAGTGGATGTATGGATGTTTCCCAGTGATGGGTTGTGGCTGGAAGGGCATTAGCTGCATAATACATATGCAGGATAAGTTGGCTCATTCCGCTGTGGCGACCCCAGATTAATAAAGGGACTAAGAAGAAAAGAAAATGAAGGATTGAATGAATATATTTAGGATAATGCTATTATGTGTTCATGACAGACAGTTAAAAAAATATAGATGAGATTTCTTTCTTCATGCATTTTTATAAGTAATCTAATCTGTCCAATTGTGCATGTCCTTTTTAATTAAAATCTTATGGGCTTGGAAAAACATAATAGTTCTTTAAATGGTAAAAGAATTTAGGTTTATTTTAGACCTTTAAATGTAGTCCAGTTCTCTTAAAACTTTTAAACCTTGGAGTGGTGAAACGCTGACATCCAGACAGTGTTAATCATGTTGGTTGGCCCGCTGACATACTGTGTGCTTGATTTATTTTCAGTAGCGTAGCAACTTTTCACTAACTGATTCACCAGTACCATAATTCTTGTCATGACTTGTTCTGTTCTGTCAAATGTCATTGTCCCATTTTATTTCCTTTTTTCTGAATTCAGCTATAGTGAGAGATTATTAAGAGTTGACACATGACATTGAATTTTGGTCTGTTATTTTGTTAAAATATCATAAATTTTAACTTGCGTTATTAATTAAATTATCTTGCATAATTAAACTTGATTTCTTAAAATTTAAAGCATTATTTTAAGTTTACTTAAATATTTTATTTCTATATTAATATCACTTGATTTAGTATTGTTTTTTATTTATAGCTGTTTAGTTCATGTAATGGAATACTATATGGTTAACATATTTTCCAGTATTGTCAAACTTTAAACCACCCTTGTTGAACCACTGGTGACCAGCAGTCAATCTGTTATATAATTGGACAGTTAAAACAGCTGATATGTGCTATGTGAGGGCACACTGTATTGTACAGTGGGTTCTGAAGCTGCTGCTGCTGCTTGTGAGTCATAATCTGTTTAATAGTCATGCAGGAGCGCAAGGCTTGATCATAGAGGCTAAACCCAATCAAACAGACACTCCTGTGCCTTTATCCCACTGTTTGAACAT